CGCGGGGGGCCCCGGGGGGTCCAGGGGGGCCCTGGGGGGCCCAGGGGGCCTCGGGGGGCCCTGCGGGGCCCCTGGGCGTTGAGGGGGTCTAAGGGGCCCCCGTCGTTTTGGGGGCCCTTGGGGGCCCCCTTACCTTGCCTTGGGGGTCCCTTGAATGGGGGCCCCTTTGAACGGGGGCCCCCTTATTGGGGGCCCCCAAATTGGGAGGGGGCCCCTGGAGCTGCGTGTTGGAGAGGGTCTTGGGAGGGTTTCTGTTGAGGCCTTTTGAGGGCCCTTTGGGTACTCTGGGGGGCCCTTATTGCTTCCTTGGGGGCCCCGGGGGGCCCCCCAGTGAGCAGCGCTTTAAATGCCAAGTTGGCCGCCTTGGGGGGCCCCCAGGGGCCCCCAAAGGCTTCTCTGTAGGCAGCTGGGGGCCCACCAGGGGACCCAAAACGGGCCCCAAAAGGGGCCCCAAAAGGGGCCCCAAAAGGGGCCCCCAGGAGTTTACGGGTGGCCCCCACGGTGGCCCAGGGGGCCCCCCTCTGGGGGCCCCTCATGGAACTTTCTGGGGACTCGGGGGGCCCCGAAAGACAATGGGGGGCCCCCAAAAGATTATAGGGAGGCCCAAGAGACAATAGGGGGGCCCCCAACGAGCGCAGAGACCCAGGGGGGCCCCCAAAGGCAATAGGGGGCCCCCAAGGGGCACAGAGACCCAGGGGGGCCCTCAAGAGGCAATAGGGGGCCCCCAGGGGGTACAGAGGCCCAAGGGGGCCCCCAAGGCAGTGCCCCCAGGGGGTACAGAGACCAGGGGGCCCCCCATTGTCTCTTTTGGTCTAGACTTTGCTGTTTGAGAGGGTTTGGCAGACGGAGTGTCTGTACACCTCAGCTGCCTGGTCTGGCGAATACTCCAAACCCTGAATTGGTGTTTACTTTTAATTCTATCTTTTCCTTCCTGCAGGGGGATAGTAGACTGCTGCTGCTGCTGCTGCTGCTTGTTGCTGCTGCTTGTTGCTGCTGCTGCGTGTTGCTGCTGCTGCTTGTTGCTGCTGCTGCAAGTTGCGGCTCTTATTTGTTGCAGTTCGCGTTTTGGGTAAATTGGGGTGTACAGACAGCTCAGCGGGCGCCGCTGCATGTGCGCCGCCGCATGTCAAATAAATAAATGAATAACTAAATAATAACTAATTAATTAGTTAATTATTTTATTCTTTTGTTGACTTCCCGTTCACCAAGAAACTCATTTCGTCGTTTGGCTCTTGAGGTGTCTGTACGCCGGAGCTCCGCGCATGCAGGCGCGCATGCCGATTTCGTTCAATTTTTTGGCGTTTTGGACAT